ATTTGTAGTAAATTTTGGTTTATTTTTCAACTTATAACAATTGTTTATCAAGTGCCCTTTTTTCGTGCAATGATTGTAAATTTTGAAATTGCACGACCACCATCAACAATGAGCCCATATCCATGACCCTCAAATGCTATAATATGCTTCATTTAAAGCATCATATACTTCTTTGATGGTTAGAGTATTACAATTATATAAAATCCTGTCTCTAAACGACATGTATAAAGTGGGCAATGAACACAATAAAATCATCCCAAATCTTCTTCATCATATTTGAACTCAAAGATCTCCAAATTAGTGACAATTTCCTTAAAAGTAGTCTGGTGATCTTCGAGAAATGTACATTTTGTCATATGATGAGAATATAGATGTTTCTTCAAATGCAATTTGCTAGTAAGATTCTTTGTCATACTTAATTGTTCCAATTTTAACCATAATGCAGTGATTGACTTCTCCTTCAAGATGCCATGAAGAATATTATTTAAATGATAAAGATGTATTTAAGTTAGGGTCACATTTCGATCCCTCCATTATTTTTCCTCTGGGGTCCAAGTTACGAGCATCTTGTCAAATCCCAAAGAGAATCTTGTCAAAATACTGTTTGTATTTTTACCTGCCACAAAGAGAATCTTATATTGTGATCTAATAGCCGAACGTCATACTTCATTTTGGTCATTACAAATCAAAACCTCGATCGTCCCAAGAATTTTAAAACCAAAAACTTTGATACTAGTTTGTTGTGAAATGAAGATGATACTGGATAAATTCGATGCCACTTTATTGAAGAAATCAAATATTATAGTCACAAATGAAGTAAAGATCTCAAAGGCACAAGAACAATGTAATTTGTAGAGTAAATGAGTTTTTATTATAACATGGAGAAAGAATACAAAGACTTGTGCTTACAATGTTTCCACATGGAGAAAGAATACAAAGACTTGTGCTTACAATATTTCTAACTTAGCCTAAATCATAATAAAGAGCCAGTTATATATAGGAAAGAAATAAGGGATGCCTAAACCCTAATAGTAGAGTTATAGTTAAAGTAGAATGCAAAAAACAAAAAAACAAAAAAAAAAAAAACCCTCGTCAAAGAGCGAAAAAGGGGCCTAGGCTGGAAACACCGCTGCTCAAGCGGGTAGATAGCGATATGCTAGAAATGCCTGGCCCTCGAGCAGTAGGCTAGCACAATGCGAGCTCCAACTTCTCTACTTTTGGTGCTTGAGTGCCCAAATACGGCAAGAAAACCTTTTGTTTCATAATTTTAGCCTCTTCCTGTTCAACACAAATTTCAACTCTTAATAGGACTTCTAAATAGAATTTCAACTAGAATTTGTCAAATAAACTTAAATAGAATTCTGTAGTCTTCACCCTCGCCCCATTTTAAGTTCCTGTAAATGTAGCTGATTTAACTGTCACATTTTGCACTCCGAGTTCTTGCAAATCCCAGCCTAGACTCCCAATGCTACAGAAAAGGAGCACAAATTAGTTAACTCAGCTTAATAAATTGTTGGGATACATTATGTCATACTTCCTCTATTAAAAAAAATAGAATTGCTTTCCTTTTTCATCTGTCTCAAAATATTGGTCACTTTCCTTGTTGATATTATAATTAATTTCTTAGTTTTCTAATATACTCCTATTTGACGTGTTATGTTATCAACAAATATGAATTATTCTTATTTAAACCATTATTTAATGTAGTAATATGTTAGGAAAAAATATAAGAAAAATTTATATTTTCATCAATTTTACTTACACGTTTCTTAATCCGTGTGAAATAGATACATGTTGCAACTAGACTAATTGAAGAAACAAGAAGAGGAGGAGACCATGGAGATTGTGCATTGATACTGTTCAATGCTATACCCCCTAGGAATTGGCCAACTAGTCTTCCTTATGGCTCGGGAAGACTAGATAGTAAAAGTCCATAATCGTCCACACTATTATATTATGTTATATATATTTATTTGCATGGTAGATGTATAATAAAATATATATTATTATTACGATGAGATCTTTGAATGCAAAATCCCTCCATAAAATATTAAATCACATTTGTAATCGCCTTCCATCATTATAGTGAAAACCCAGAGTCCAAAATCGTCTCAGCCTGTTGAGTACACTCAAGGCTGATCTATTAGGGATATGTTTGACATTATGAAATATTTGATATTTCAGAATGACGGGTTTGATCTATTTAGGAAAAAATATAAGAAAAATTTATATTTTCGTCAATTTTACTTACACGTTTCTTAATCCGTGTGAAAATAGATATATGTTTATCTTTGTGGGATGTAAGGAGTATGATTATATCTATTTTAATGAAGATTGTGTGGTTGAAAATGAATACTGTAGATAAAATAATGTGATAGAATGGTTGACAAACAAAAGTTAGATCTTTTGTGGCTATCAATTTTTAATTTACATTTTTAGTACCTAATTGTAAGTGTTATGCCCTAGGTCCAATCAACCTTGGACATAAATACTTTTGATATATATAATTAATGCAATTTAATGGCAAATCTATTATTTAATTAATAGACAGTTAAATAAATAATAGAGTCCATAGATTCAAATCTTCGTAATTTATTAATCACAAGGAGTTGTGATTGTGAGATA